ACCCTCATGCAAGGAAAATTTGAGATGAGCATGATGGGGGAACTCAACTACTTCCTTGGTCTTCAAATCAAACAGAGAAGTGAAGGGACTCTCATCAACCAAGCCAAGTACACAAGGGATCTTATCAAGAAATTCAAAGTTGATCAGAAGTCATCCGTTTCTGTCCCCATGAGTACATCCACCAAGCTTGATATGGATGTAGATGGAAAGGATGTTGATCAAACTCTCTACAGAGGAATTGTTGGATCTCTACTCTACCTTACTGCAAGTCGTCCGGATATCTCATATGCAGTAGGTGTTTGTGCCAGATTCTAGTCAAAGCCAAAGGAAAGTCATCTAATAGCAGCTAAAAGAATTCTTAGATACTGACAGTTGTAATTTTTCGGGTAGTAAACCTTCCCGGTAAAGGGTTAGTTTTCTCTCCGAGTGTCGTGTCTCTCGAGGAGTGGACGAAGGGAATTAGTTTAATTACTCTGACTAGGCGAAGATTAGGATTGGTTTATGAAAGTCTTCTCGAAACGATTATAAAAGGAGCGGACTAATAATAAATTAAGTTTACATAGTATAAGTATAGATCTGGGCCTAGGGTCAGGACATCATTTAGATCTATTTTATCATATTAAATCAACAATTGGAAAAATAATATTTCTATTACTACTCATCCATTTCTAGATTTGTACTTAATCTGTTGTACTTGAATATCGTAGCCCTTTTAGCATACAATATCTTCTCAATAAATAGCTAATTAAATCTTTCGAGAATAATTAACTAAATAAGGCAAGAACAGTAGATTAACCATTCCAACATTAATTTAACATAAAAAAAATAAACAACCAAACTAGTCCGGACCCAGAGATCCGGACCCTAACTCATACTATGCAAACATAAATTAAAATAGCATTTTATTAAATAAAGAAAACTTACAACTTCCGTAAGAGCAGAACAGAACTGATCGGGAGTAGAATTTCTCCAAAAATTACTCTAAAACTACTCAAATGCTAAACTAATATTTGGGACTGAAATATAAAGCTTAATTACCGAAAATGGGAGTGAAAGTGATGATGTGGATGGGGAGAATCGCGTTATATTTATAGGACAGAGGCCGAGGCGTCCAAGTCAAAGCGTCCAAGTCCAGGCGTCCAGATCGGGACGCTTGAGCTGCTCCGGCCAACCAGGTTTTGCCACGTGTCTTCCTTGGTCTGCAATCCAGCTAAGGCGTCCAACTCCAAGCGTCCAACTTGGCCAAGCGTCCAAGTTGGACGCCTTGAGGCCTTGGTCCGTAGGGCTTCGCGGCTGTTACGAGATCTTGGCCCAATTTCACTGATTTTCGGCCCGAATGTCGATTTTACCTTCTCGGAAGCTCGTTCAAGCCCGAAACTTGATCCTTTGATGATCTATTCCCTTTTTCTCAAGCATTTGAACATAAAATGGATAATTTTTGATGATTTTATGTGGAATCCCTATTTATGACTCTTAGAGCGAAAATGAGAGTTTTATCCATCGAAATCACATTTTAAGAGATAATTAAATATTATTTACGTGCAATAACGTTCAAATATGATGTAAATGATAATAACGAAACGGACTTATCAGATAACTCAAAGAACTCAGAACATGGGTTTATGGTATGCTAAGAGCAATTCATTTGAGTTAGTGGGATACTCAGATTCTGACTTTGCCGGATGCAAATTTGACCGGAAAAGTACATCTGGTACTTGTCAATTCATTGGTGGAAATCTTGTTTCTTGGTTCAGTAAGAAACAAAACTCCATCTCTACTTCAACAGCAGAAGCAGAGTACATTGCTGCTGGTAGTTGTTGTGCTCAGATTTTGTGGCTAAAGCAACAACTACTGGACTATGGAGTCAAGACAAGAGATCAGAAGTGACAATCTTTTGTGACAATCAAAGTGCTATAGCCATCTCTCAAAACCCAGTGCATCATTCTCGCACTAAGCACATTGATGTCAAGCATCACTTCATCAGAGATCATGTGGAAAAGAAAGATATCAAAATTGAGTATATCTGAACTGAAGAACAACTGGCGGATATCTTCACAAAACCACTAAGTGAAGCCAAGTTTTCTGGCTTACTTCACAAAATTGGTCTAATTCAATTAGACTGAGTGCGGTACACGTGGCAGTCCACTTTCCACGTCTGTCAAAGTATTGGGTAGGCACGTGGCCTTGGGAATAGTCAAAAAGCCAATCGCCACCAGCCGCGCAAATCGCCCAAATAAAACCCAATCGACACAATTCAGATCTCAACCGCCTCCTCAGATCTTTCGTCGTCTTCTTCGCGAGAACTTTCTCAAGAACCCTAAAATTTCTTTAGATTCTTCAGATTTTCTCACTCAAATTTCTGAGAAAATGAAGATTGTTGGCGCTAATATCCATTTTCAGAAATTGGAAGCCAAATGTTCGTCATCGGAGTTCTATCAAAGCTATCTAGAGATGATAGCTGCTCAAGAACTCTCCAAATTCCTTCATATGGAGATCCACTCCAAATATGAAGTTGAAGTTTTGGAATTCTACAGAAATGGAGAGGTCAAGACTGTTCAATCAAAGAAGAACCCACAGAGGACGATTCAAGTCATAAAATCCACTGTTGGAGGGAGAAAAGTGAAGCTTTCGCAGAAGAAATTGGGAGAAAAGCTTCACCTTCCCAACTCTGGAGCTGAAATCGGGAGATTTCTAGTCAAAAATCTGGACTGGGATATTATTGGAATTTCTAGGCAAGTTCCTTCTGGCCCAGTGAAGAAAGCAGACCTGAACAACGACTACAAACTTGTTCTGGAATTGGTCATCGCCTGCCTCGAGTGTGGAAGTGGAGGACATGCTAATGACATCACCCAAGAGAGGGCCTTCATCATCAACACCCTCATTACCAAGTCTAAGGTAAATTGGGCTGCACATTTCTTCAATTCCATCTCAAAGCATCTGGGAAAGCCCAACCAGAAATACCTTTGTCAAGGTCTGTACATTGGACATATTTTGGAGTCTATGGGTGCTGCTTCTGAAGGAAAGAAGTATGAAGCCAAATATTGGCTATACTACCTGTCTTTCAAAGGGGAAAACAGAGCTGGTGCTAGCACAACTGCAGAGGATGAAGCCTCTTCAGACAATGTGCCAATCATAAATCTGAAGAAAACAGCCAAGAGGAAGCATGTGGTGTCTCCCTCTCCAAGTGTTGAAGCACCACAGAACCTTGCTCTGGTCAATCTGGAAGAAGTAGAAGAAGTCTCTATCCAAGGAGAACTTCAAAGGAAGAAGAAGAGGAAAATCACCTCTCCCTCAACTTCTGGAAATGTCAACCCGGATGAGTTGAAGGAGAAGGAACCAGTTGAGGACAACTCTGCCCACAACCAGAGCCCTCAACAACTAGAAGAAGAAGTTCATCAAGTCCATAGTCTTCCAACCCCCTCACCTCAACCTTAAACAGATGATGCTGATAACCAATTCTGGCAGCTCTACTATGACTGGAGAGCTTGGAAGGTTGGAAATTCAGCAGAGCAGTTGTTGGGATGGGACCAACAATTGAAGAATGAAAAGATCATCAAGAAGTGCTTGGGACTGCCAGTCAACCACAGCTGTGAACAAATTTTTGATGATGACTGGGTATGGCAAAGAAACTATGAAGACTTGCATCTCGAACACTTGGCCACCTCACCAATTTCAGAATTTGAAGTGGATGAGGAAGATCCTTCAGTCTACAAACCAGTCTTCTCAAAAGCCACATGATTCACACGTCTGACGCACATGCTGATTTGGAAGCAACAGTTGAGGATTTCCCAATCTTTCCGGAAACCTCACCTGTCTTTGAAATGGTTCTCCCTGAAGCTGACCAGGAGAATGCAGCCTCTACTCCACAAGAACAGAATCAAGGAGCATCAGAGGAAGAACTTCAGCAACATCTCCAGTCTCAAGTTCTTGAGATTCTCACAACTGCTTGTGAGATCTCCAACCAGCCTGAACTTCAGATCCTGGAGAAGTCAAGAGAAATTTTGGAGCAGTCCACTCCTCCATAAACAAATGTAGTCCAAGAGGAGCAAGCTGTAGAAATCCAAAGAAATTTTGCAGAAGCTGAAAAGGAAGTTCAAATGGGAGCACTGGAGGCCCCTAAAACTCTAGTAGCCGTTTTTGAAGAGCAGAATGAAGCTAATGAAAGAGACTCCCTCTATAGGGATATATCAAATTTTATACTTGAGGAAGCAGAAGAAGAATCTGAAAGGACGCTAAGGATCAATGATGAAGAAGATGTGCAAGAAGATGTTGAATCTCTTCCTATGCAACTTTTCCAAAGAACACCCTCTTCTCATTAGGTAACCAACTTCCATTTCCATAGCTCTTCCATTCCTACACTTCCGGATGAAGTACCGGAAATCTGGACAAAGAAGGTCCAAAGGCTGATTGAATCAGCCCTAGCATCTCAGCATGCCTCCTTTAGGCAAGAGATAGAGCAGATGGAAGCCAGGTACAACAAGCTGATGGAGAAATCCGAAGAGACACACTGCTCCAATCTCAAGGAGATAAGCAAATCAGTGAACAAGACTCTAGAGATCATTTCTCTATTGAGTAACTCTGTGAGCGACACAATGGAGACATATGCATCTGACAGTTATCTTCAACTCAAAGAAGTTAACAAAATCAGAGAGCAAATAGCAAATGTCACAGTCAGTCTGCAGAAGCAAATGTCCCTTCTCCAAATGGACATCAGATCGGCTCTGGCAGTATCTTCACCGAATCAGGTAGTAACAAAGGACTACTTGAAGGTCATTATTGACAATCAGAAGGAAGCATTCAAACTGTTTAGAATTCTTAGCACAAATTCTGGCAACCGCAAGATGGAAGTGATTCTTTAACAACACAGTCCATCCTTGATTCTAGAGCTCCCTATTGCAGTCAAGGAAGGAGAAGTCTCTTATATTCCTTCGCATCTGAACATGACTGACCTGATCTTCGAAGCTCAGAGAAATAATCCAGAGAACTCAGCACAACATCTATCTAGCTCAGGACTGGATGGAACAGAGGCTGTTGGAACCATTGTCTCTCATTTCTCAAATGATGACCAGACAAAGGAGAGATACCGGAACATCAGACGCATCAAAAAACTATGTGGAAACATGCAAGGCATCGGTGAGCTTGCCGGATCTTCAAAGCGCAAGAAGCACTGAAGGCTTTTTTCATCAAACCAGGGGGAAAGTATGTGAAAACACTAATTTGCTTTGATGAAAACACCTTCTTGTTTAAACATTGCTTGATTGGTTTAAACATTGCTTCAATATTTCTCTTAATTGTGCTTATTATGCTTGATTATGCTTATTTCAAGTATGATTTTGAGATTTATTCCTGCGCGCATACATTCAGGGGGGATGTAATTAAGGGGGAACTTAACTGTTTTTTGGCTAACAATTGTTTTTGGCAATGAATTATTGATGAACTCTAAGCAATGGAAGATGGATATCTCAGTTTTAGTACTAAAAGTTGGAAATCTCCGATTCAGGTACTTTACATAATCTACCTTCCTAAATAAGTTACCACTTTTATTTTAAATAAGTACCACTTTTCTTTTAAATAAGTTACAAATTTTTCTTGGTACTACCTCGTCCTATTTAGAAATTAGAACTATAGGGAATGAAAAATGATAGTTTTATTTTGGGCCTTGAGAACCCAATAGGAATAATTTCCCTTTAGTGCATAGATTTTTTCTTGGGCCACTCTTTTGGGCTTAATTAGCCAAACTAAAACAGTTACGTTTTTCAAACCAAACGAAACTGATTTTTAAATTTGAACAGTTTCAACACTCTGGTAATTGGTAAAAGATTCTTTCAACTTTTCAGAGTTCAACTTCTTGGAAGTTGAAACTCCTTTACTCTCACCGTTCCAACTACCCACTTAATGGAACCCGTGAACCTCCCCTCTCTCTACCTCCTCTCCTATTTAAATCAAGGCATTCCAATCCATTCCTATCACAAACAACTCTTTCAATATGAAAAGTCTTCAAACACACTGTCTGAGAAAAACACCAAGAAAAATATCCTCAATGGATAAATTTTTCTTTCTCACCCTCATAGACGGCAATGGAGAAAGCCTTAAGAGAAGAAAAGACATTTAAGGTCTATGGTGCAAATCTCGGCAGTAGAGAAGGGATATGGTGCAAATCTCGTATTTTTCAAGATTACACCATACACCTTCTCTGGAACAACAATCTCTCTATTTTTTATTCTTCAAATTTTACTTTTTAAAATTTTTCTACTTTCATATCTTTCCCTTCCCTCTCTTTCTTTTTCTGGATTTTCTTTTATGCAGTCTCTACACCCTAATTTTTGTGCAGACTTTGCTCCCTTTTCTCAAACATTTTTTTTGAATTTACTTTTTCAAACATTTACTTTAAACTTTTTTTAAAAAATTATTTTTTTTCCATATTTATCCTTTAAATTTTTTTTGTTTTTTCCTTCATCTTTAAAAACCCTTATTTTATCTTTTTCGCAATCAATTCTCTTTTCCAAAACCTTTTCTTTCTTGTCTTTTTACCTTTTTCCTTTTTCTTTCTTTCGTTTTTTGTTCTTGTTTTTGCTTTTTGGAGAGATGTGTTGCTTCCAAGATCTTGAATATCCACTTTGGATATTAAAGATCTATCAAACGCAACGCCATCCACGCTGATAAGCAAGATCTGCTGAAGCTGAAAGCGGTTAATGGTGGAAAATATCACAAAATCTCAAGACAAGACTTGGTTTAGGAATTATTGTAATTTGAATTGTATTAGTTTAAGAGTTTTTGTTAACAAGCTGTATATTATGAGAAACTAAAAGAAAGTTATAAAATTAGTTCTCAGTACAGCGACCGGAACTCTTAAACACTTGTTTGTCATCATTAAAAAGGGGGAAATTGTTGGGAAAAATATTATAGATTTTGATGATGATGTATTTAGATTGTAATAGGGACTTTAGGCCTCCCCCAATATTCAATGTAATTTTTCTTTTTAGAAACATTGTCAAAACCGAGTTCTTGAGATTTCTAATAAAGTTGTGATATTTCTTTAAGTGGTTTGATACTTGAAGACTTAATCAAATTCAGTGATTTTGGAAATTGGATATCTTGATCGGAAATGTTAGAGACAAGTAAGGATTTCTCAAAGCAGATGAAAATCCTCCAATCCGGAAGACTACATGATAACCGGATGTCTCGCTACAACCCGCTGAAGGCTAAGTCATCCAAGTCGGAAGACTAGCTAACGCGGATCTCTTTCTCACCCGGAAGACTGAGAATGACTCTTCCGGATTTGTCAGCCAAGAAACGGATGCCTCAAGAAAGACCGGAACTCTCAAAAGCGGACAAGTGAGAAAAGACTTAGAAAATTATCTAAGTCTTGAATGAAGAAACTCTACCCGTTGGTAAGGAAAAATCAATCTCTTGATTTTCAATGGCTAGATTGAAGATAATTATGCTGATTCAAGAACAAATGACTTGAAGACAAAGTCTGGACCCCTTATATTAAAGAGCCTGTCTAGAATTCATAAACAAGCACTAGAAGACAAACAGAGTAAAGTGCTACAGTCGAGAATTCTTGAACAACAGCTAGAAGACGGATTCTGTGGAAAAAGGAATCCCTCCTCAAACAATTGGGCATGTCCAAACACCCATTCCAACGAGGAATCTTCAAATCACAATCTTCATTCAAAATTGAAGCCAGCAAATGCAACGGATAGTCTATTTTTATTCAACGGATAGATTATCCAATCCAGCTATAAATAACACCCTTGGAAGACTGGAGAAAATAGAAGACACGAACATACAACCCATGAGATAGAGAACCACAACGAAGCAATCTCTAACAACAAAGCTATCTCATTCACAGTTAGCCCAAAAGCTTGATAAAGAGAGAATTCTAAACTCCTTATCCAGAAGCAAACTTCTCCTCCTTCCAAAGAGCTATAGTGTAAACACTTGAAGGTTTCCTTGCCTCAAGTACCACACCACGTTGAAGGGTATAACTTTTGATCAAACTTATTGATTGGAAGGGGGTAGATCAACTTTCTTACAAGTTGATCTTGCAAGTCCTATTGTTCGGATCTTGCAGTTGTTGAAGAAGCGTGACCTTCGAAGGAACAACAAAGCCAACACGAGTGCAGTAGCAACATTGGCCTTGCGAAGATATACCGTGCAGAAATTCACACAAGTGTAATTGTTGGTTCATTGTTCAACAACCAACTACATAGTGGATTTTGAGGACGTAGAAGGATTACCCCACCTTCGAACCTCGTTAAAGTTTGCGTGTCTCTCTCTTTTATCTTTATTCTTACTTGCAATTATATTAACTGTGAAAACTACCCCATCCATATTGATTACTGCTCACTCTACCCACCAAATTCCGCACACAATCTAAAGTTCACAAGAACTCTAGATTAACACTCATTTTCACGTTTTCAAAAGAAACGAAAAAGTTTTAAATTTGTAACAAAGTCTATTCACCCCCCTCTAGACTTTGTATCTCACCACTTTGGGACCACCATAAAATTTTTTGTTTGTTGTTATTTTCCTTCTTTTAAACCTTTTATTCAACAAATAAAACCTTCCCTCTATTCCATTCACCCCCTGGCCAAAATACACTTCACAATCCCAACATAAACACCCACAAAGAGCCAAAACCCTGACCCACCACTAGCCACTCATTCCTGCCCATGTTCCCTTACAAATAACCCAAACCTATAAGTCCAAAACCACACATTATATCCCCCATCCCTTCCCCTTTTATTAGCCAAAAACAACCCCCATTTTTACCTAAATAATAGCCACAAAAACCCAAGAAACAACCTCTAGGAACCAAAACACAAACCCCCACAACCCCAGCCCCATCCCTGATTTTATGTCACTAAGGAGACATGAATGAATGGCCAATACCCCATGCCTTGGAAGAGAGTGTTGCAAGGAAGCTTCCCTAAGTTTACATTCAATGTATTTTGAATAATCTCCCCCTTCCAACTCAGGCCTTATGGCCATTGTAACATACCTTTTGAATATTAAAACATTTTACTCTTTGAGTATTATTAAAATAGTGTGATGCTATTTTAGCCAAATTCCTAATTTTATATCTTAAGAGTGGTTATCTTAAGTGTGAGTTTTAGTATCTAGATATTTGATTAAGTGTGTCATATCTTAATTAAATTCTAGATTCAAACCCTAAGTTAGGATAAGAGTGTGTAATATCTCTTAAACACCAACTTGGTTTATCCATCCCTGATTTTCTTCCATTTCTTACCTCCCCACTTCTCCTTCTTTATCCTATTCTTTTCTTCCATAAAATACCAAAAAGAACTCCTAAAACACCCTCCACTAAATCCACCACTAAATTATCAACTTGATAAGACCCCTGTTTCACCCCTAACAGCTGGGAAGGGTCTCCTCGCTGGTTCTTCACTTTCTAGTAACCACCTTCCCATCGATGGGAGAATCTCACCATTGCTGAGAAGGCAACCTTGTTTTTCTTCTCGCTTTCGAGTGGCGACCTTCCCATAGATGGGTAGATCCTACCATCGCTGGGAAGGCTATTGAAATTCAAAAATTATGGCCGTTGGGCACCGAATTTAATGCCCAACAGACATATTTTTTTGAATTCACACGGTTTCATCCTCCTCTCCCTATATATTCACATCATCCTTGATCTTTTTAACACATCATTAACATCATAATTTCAATGGCCGGTGGGAAATCAAAGTCGAAGGCCTCCAAGAAGAAAAGCACCGTCGAAGCCTCAAGCTCTGCGCCCCCGCCGTGTCCCTAACTTGACGGCTCCTTCCTTGAGTTCGGGTCGGAGGAAGAACTCACGCGCTTCCTCACTCACTTTGCTAAACGTCCAATTTGTCCGCCCCGAGTGCTCCCGAAGTTGTTTCCCCAACAAAAGGGGTACCAAGACCTCACAACCAAATCCAAACGTCGGGTTTGTGGCCCTTCGTCTCTAAGAGCCGCACGTCCTGCAATCCCGCCTTCGTCCAGGCGTTCTACTCAAATCTCCGCTGTGACGGGGACACCATCTATAGCAGCATCAATCTCTACGACATATAGATTGACTTGCTGACTTTTGCACAGATCACAGGGCTGCCCATCCGAGGCGACGACATCGCGACATACGGTGGCGACGATTGGATCCTCAACAACGAGGCGGTCGTCGTTCGCGAGCTTGGGATCACTAACTTGATCCGCCACACTGGCACGCCGATGATCCACTCAGCCCCACTGGAGAAGCGCCTCCTCCTCTACATCCTCACCCGGATCCTCCGCCCTCGGGATGGCAGCCACACCTCGCTCTTTAACGAGGACTTGAAGGCAATTCACGCCATCATGCACAGCGCCTCCATCAATTGGGCGACATTCATCATGATTCACATAACGGATTGCGCTTCCATCGCCACCGAGCGGAGCTTGCCGTACGCCTTCCTTGTCATGGACCTCATCGTGTCCGCCGACATCCACATTGCCGGGCCAAGCACGAAGATGTCAAAGCTCTAGGTCATCGCCGAAAACACCTTCAAGAAGAAGTTCGAAAACCGAGACACCGCCGGACCGAGTCGTGCCCGTGCCCCTGCCCCCGCTCCCGCCCTGGCCTCGTTGTAGTCCATAGCCGACACCCTGAATCGGCTAACCCTCACGGTGGAAGGCATGGGGCAATACATGGAGCAGATGGACTGGACGCTGCAACGCCAACACCACGACATGAGGGTGTTCTTCCGCGGCATCAACTACGTCCCTCCTCCCTTTGACAGCACCATCGTCGGCCAAAACTTTGAAGGCGAGGATGAGGACGACGACTCCTACGCTCCGTCCTTCTCCTTCGACAAGGTTGACTTTGAGGATGCAGTCGACGGCGATCCCATGGACGTCGCGGATGACGAGGATGACGACGAGGACGACGACGCCGACTCCTAGACTCTTCTTACTTTTTATTTAATATGATTGCATTTTTTTAATTTCTATTCCGTTGTATTCCGCATTTCCCTTTAATGAATAAAAGTTTACTTTTAGTTCTTTTTGTTAATGTCAAAAGGGGGAAGATAAAAGGGTTATGCATAGATTGAGAGGGAATATTTTTTTCTAAAGGCACAAATTATTATACTCTGTTGAAATAAAATTTCTTTTATTAAGGGGGAACATTTTTTTTAAAAGTCTTAAGATTATCCTCCTATGCATAACCTCGTCTTGTTTGCCATTATCAAAAAGGGAGAAATTGTTGAAACACGGGTTTATCACATTTTCGTACTAAAGGCGTGTTCGTTTTTATGACATGTTTTGATAATTCCAAACCGCCATGATCAAGACAAAACATTCAATATACAAGGCTAAGAACGAAGATAAGAACAAGAGCTAAACAAAGACCAAGAACGAAGACCGTAGTCTTAGTGTCGTTGAGTCGGTCACCCAACCTTTACACCTTCGCTCTTTAGGCTAAAATCTTTTATTGCATTTCTCATATCATAAAAATGGTTTTCAAACATATTTAAAACATTAAAAACACTTGGTGTTCGCCCAAACCAAAAACCAAGCCATCCGACATTCGGCTTTCAAAAATCGGCATTCGGTTATCGGCGTTGGTTTTTGGCGTCCGAACCAACCAAGTGGTTTTCAACATTTTATGATTTGGTTTTTCTTCTTGGCATGTTTAAACAGTGATGTTAATTTTGAAGGGTATCTAGAAGACCTCTAAGATATACCCATTTAAGTTAGGCCTTGCTGGTATGATGCCCGGTGGCCAGGGTTAAAACGTACGTACGGGATCCAAGAACCAAACTTGAGTACCTACTTGTTTGGGGGTACCACCTAACCCAACAGTGAACACTATGCTGTCGGTTTTCTGGTTGACCTTAAGCGAAGGTAAGTTTAAGATCCTAAAAACCTTTTTGAAATTCTATATCTTAAACTAGGCCTAGCTTAAGGGTTTGTTAGGAACATCCTAAACTAGAATTAAATTGGCCTTAGACTAAGAATAGTTTAAGAGCATTGTTATTATTTGGACTTAGCTTAGAATAAGTTAAGAGCAATTATGTTTGACAAAACTTGATTATGTGTGTCAAATAATGAATATTGTAATAATAAAAATGACAAGTGATTATTGTGAACCATGGACTGATTCCTATATAAGTTTGAATGATGTTGTTAATTATCATTGTTAAAATAACAAAGACAGCTTTTAATATGAAAAGCGAATAGTTGAACATATATATGTGATTGGTATTGTTTAAGAAATTATTCTATGAATTCTTTTGTTGTGCCATGGTACCACTCAGCTTCATTGCTGAGCGTGTAGATTTTTTTTATCTTTCTACACGTAGGTATGAGAGAGAATAAAGGTGGAACCTATTCTGGAGATTACTGAGATGGAGGTGATGTGTGAACGTGGACAAATATATTATTTAAATAAATGATTTTATCACATTGTTAACCATGACGTTTTAGTTTGTAAATTGCTTCCGCATGTTTTAAATAATTTTACTCTGATGTTATTATGAAATATTTAGTGCACTTTTTGAAATAAAGTTTTTAAATGTTTGAAATTTTTACATTACCAAGTTAATACTTTAGTCCAGAAGGGGCTGCAGACCTGGACGGATTAGGGTGTTATAATTTTATATACCTATATTCACAAGCTCAAAAACACACAAAATATGTTTAAAACCCTTTTATAATTATTTTCAAACATCCAAAAGGTTTTAAACACAATTAAAAATGATTTGGACAACAATGAAAAAATTGTCAAAATGGTCACAAGGTACCTAGGTACCGTGAGCGGGTACCGTGAGTCAATTTGAGAAGGTACCCCCTACCGTCAGCACGGGACCCCCTACCGTCTGGATGGGACCCCCCTACCGTAAGGGGTACCATAAGAGGATAGGTACCGCCAGAGAGTTTTGGCCTGAGACGGTACCTAGCTACCGTACAGGACCTAGCTACCGTGACAGGGTACTGTTACTATTGGAACATTATTTCTGATTGTTGATTTTTGAATTAATTTAACTCTAATCACCTCCTAACGGCTAATTAACATCTTCCACTATAAATATAGGCCCAATACTTCATATTTCAACAAGAAACAAAGCTCCAAACATCCCCCCTTTATATTTTAAGTGTGTTCATTCTTTTATTCATTATTTTCAATATTTTGGCTATTTTAAGAGCCATAAATTCCTGAATTTTATACACACACTTTGAGCTTGTGTTTCTAGTTATACACTCTCATATTCATAAGTTTATATTGTATTTTTGAGAGAGTATAATTTCCTTCTACACCGGATAAGTTTTGTTCTTCATTTTTATATTCTAGCCGTTGTGTAGAATCCTCTTTTGTGTTCTTCAAACACACCTTCTTACGGTCGAGAATAGCCGTTAAATTCTCACGTTGTAACGGTTAAGGATAGCCGTATAAATCCTTGGGTAAAGGTTCAAGGGTAGCCTTTGAAATCCTTGGGGGAATGGTAGAAGATAGCCGTTAAATCTTCGTTGTAAATGGTTCGAGATAGCCGTTGTGAAATCTCGGGGTGAATCCTATTAGCAAGGGTTGTTTGCAAAAACTAGTGCGGTTCTTTGACGGAGTTCAAGAGACCGGAACTTAGTGGATTCAGAAATCCTTGAGGAGAAGCCTAGAGGTACTGGAAGAGGGGTTTCCCGAACTAGTATAAAATCAGTGTGCATTTTATTTACGCTTTTATTTCTGCATTTTATATATTGCTTCCGCATTTGCCAACACCGTTTTTATCAAACTCCGAAAAGATTTTAAACGCCTTATTCACCCCCTCTCTAAGGTGTGGGCACAACGACTAAACCGACTAACAAAAAGAACTCCTCCTACATATCAGCATTTCACCCCAAGCCTGTCCCCACATATCTCCTTCCATTTCCTTTACATTTTTAAGCCAAGAGAACACTCATACTTCCCCTTTTCATCCCTCACCAATTTGGCCTATAACACTACACATTCAATTCCTTTACCAATTCCCCATCAAATTTCCAACTTGATATGACCTCCGGTTCATCCCTTACATTGTGGCTCTAATGCACCCTTGAAAGCCCAAGTTGAGTACTTGGCTATAGAGGTGGCGAAACTTACTTAGCAAAACTTTAGCATATTACAAAGAAGTGATGAAGAAGAAGAAACTAGCTCTAGTGGTACTATTAAACCTAAGACTCAATAAAGGTTCATCGTAGAGTACACAGTTTCTAGCAACTAGTATAAGTACTTCGAGATGAATCACGTCGTGGAGGCTTTCATCGTACTTCCCAAAGGAGTTGACAATATCGAAGATTTGTTCACCTTAATCTCATGGGTGTCTAAAGGGTTGCATAGTAGACCCATTAGTCTCTTAAACATTGATGGTTATTTACATAACATACTCAAATGTTTAGATGTTGTAGTGAGGCAAAACTTCATGGCTTTCTGTCATAGGAAACATTTCATTTCTTCTTTCTTTATTGATGAGTTTTTAGATAAACTAGACTTTGCTAAAGCTTTCTCGGGTCCTGGAGCTAATTATGATGAGTTTGCAAATCCTGTGAGATTAAACTTAGAGTTGCATCTGTAACATTTCTTAAGTAATCCAACTTGTATTTATATTGAATTATTATCCATGAACATTTTAAGTTAGCCATAAATATTGTTCTATGCTGCATAGCCAGTGCAAGTTAGAAGAATATTAATTTCCAACATCAGAATGTATCATGTATATATCAAACATTCTCTTCATCTTTTATTTATACATTGTTGGTGTCACTGTTGCACGTCTTGTTTTGTATTGTCACCACGTCGCGATCTGTCACGTCAATAGGGTATACGAATGAGTCAATTATCTTAATGATTTGTCTTGTCGGTATGATACATTAGTATCACTTTATTTCATTCATTCAATTAGACTACAACGATGTTTTTTACGATAAGCAATTAAGTCACTAGTCGCTTCATAACAAGGAGTCAATTCATTCAACAAGGTTGAGCAGTATAAAAATTCTAACAAGTAGGTTCTTTGAACTTGACCAAACAAGTCATCGGTACATGGCAAAAGGGTAGCGATTCTTGATCGTCAATTTGTTCAACTTTCGGTAGTTGATGTAGAGTCTCATCGATTCTTTATTTGCATACAAGCAGGACAGGTACTCTCTTAAGGAAAAAACACTTGGTTAGACGATTGCTTGTCAAGAAATCTTTACAGTTGAGTTTTCAATCTCAGCGAAAGATTGTTCAATATGAATATCGGCCTTTCCTAAGAACAAGATTCATAGAGAATTAAAGTTTTCTTTTAGAATGACAGATTTGGGGGCATAGACACACAGATATAAGACAGTGTAGGTCAAGGATCAATCAATACATGCATACTTGTATTGAATACGGAAACATACCAATCATGACATCGGGGTTTTCTTCAGTGCGGCCATTCACAGCATACGTACGTACATGAGTTCATCTTTGGTTTGGTTTCTTTGGATTGTTTCTTCATGTGAATCGTTGACTTGGTTTGGGTCGAGCTGAAGTAGATTTTCCTTGGTCAAAGGCGATTGGAAATGGTTCAGGGTTCGTGGGACTTTTCTTTTGGAAATGTCCATATTTACTACAACCTAGACATAATCCTTGTGCCATCCAGCATTCTCCTAAGTGGTGTCTTCAAATGTTACACATTGGTGCTTCCAAAATCTCAATTTGAATCTAGATGTTACAAATTGAGTTACCACAGACTTTCTTCTTTTTAAGTGTGGGGCACTACTGGTCCAATCAAAGGTCTCTTTCCTTTAGTAACTGGTTGGACACTTGAACTAGCATTGGATTGACCTTCAATATCCCTGTGAACATTCTGGTTGTTTGGTTTATTTTGGACAAGAGGAGTGAAGCTTGATGCTTCGGTATGAACACTCACGTGCTCATTATTTAGCACTTGGTTACTTTGACCGTGAGTGATTTCGTGACTCATTCTACAAATAATAGAAATTCCGTTATTAGAAATCATTATTTGAATAGGTGAGTTGATAACAAATATCACTAG